TTATAGTAATATAAGTTACAAATATAACTTATCTTTAAAAAGGTCATTTTTGGTTTCTGATAAGTGAAAAATTGAAATATGTTGCCATAGTTAAGAGAGTCAACACAATATAAGGTACACATTTGCGTCCCACCCAAAGCACTTAGAAGAGTTAATTAATTAATTAAAATGTCCTTTCTGTCTAATTTTCCATTCATAATTTCCAAGGTTTTGACATAACTGATGCTTTATAGATAACTGAGGTAATTTCAAATCTCCTGTCCTATACATTACCTGCTCAGCACAACTTAGCATACACATGCTTAGCCCATGGCATTCATTTACTCAACAGCTATTGTCAACACTATGATAGGCACTGGAGATAAGACTGAGAACCTGGCAGACATAGTCTTGGATCTCATGGAGTATATGTTTTCATAATATTGATACATTAATAATTAAAACTTCAAATGTTTAAAATTTGTGTAGTCACGCCATGTTGCAGCAACCTTACAAAATTATCTCACTGCTTGCATAGCACTTATTTGCCAAGGCCAGCAAAGAAGAATGATCAAATCCAGTTTCTTTTGGATATACAAGGCTTCAGTTTGCCACAAAAATAAAGATAAAATAAAAATAAAAATATCAATTAAAAAATTTTTATTGATTGTTCACGTTTTCCTTTCACTGTACTTTCTAGAAAGGCATAAAGCAAAACTATTGCCTATTTCAAGTTCCATTCTTTTTTAATTTTTATTAGTGAGACACCATGAGGTACAGTTGTAGACTTACAAATTTTTGTGCTTGGGTTTCAATTATACTATGATCAAATACCCATCCCTCCACCAGTGCCCATTTCCCGCCACCACAGATCCCAGTATCCCTCCCACCCCCCATCCCCCATCCCACCCTGCCTCTGTGGCAGGGCATACCCTTTTGTTTTCTCTCTCCTTTTGGGTGTTGTGGTTTGCAAAAGAGGCTATGAGTGGCAATCATGTTTGGTCTATAGTCTACTTTCAGCATGCTTCTCCCATCCTGGGAGGATCCTCCCAACACCCTTTATTTGGTGCTCCCTTCTCTATCTGAGCTCCCTTAATTTTTGTAACCCAGTAAAAATTAAATATTTATCTTTTAATATTCATTTGAAAGAAGGGAGAGGCAGGGATATGTATTCTATCAAAGGGATGAGTACATGCTTTGCATGTAGGAGCGTTAACACTACATGATCACCCAGTGAACATAAGTGACCTCTGAGTACTGTGCTTGGAGTAGTCCCTTAACACATCCGGGCATTACCCAGTCCCTAAAAAAATAAAAATGAAAGAGAAGAATGATTTCAACTAGCATCTAGCATTAACTAGCATCAAGCATTATATACCACCTTTAAACGCATAAATTTTCATTTAAAAGCAGTAGTAATTAAACTATCATCATATTGGAATAGAAGCAGACCCACAGACCAATGGAACATCGTTGCATATTTCTCACAGACTCTCAGATATATGACAACTTAATCTTTGATAAAGGAGCAAGAAACAATAGGTAAAGAAATCATAGATAAGAACTTCCCAGAGTTGAGGATTACAAGCACCAAAATCCAAGAGACCTGAAAGGGTCCCAGTGAAAACAGACACAAGAAGGCAAACCCCAACACAAATTAGCCTCAAAACGACAAAATCCAAGATACAAACAGAATATTGACAGCAGCAAGATAAAAAAGGAACTTATATACAAAGGAAAGCATATTAGCTATACAGCATATCTATCAAATGAGACTATATGAGCCAGAAGAATATAGTACAACAACTGAGCAAAATAACACCTCATCAAGTATGTTCTATCTAGTTAGATTATCATTCAGATTTGAAGATGGACAGACAACAGCTTAGGAAATTTGTAGTTTTGAAATCATCTTTGCAAGAGTTGAAAGAGCACCTTTAAAGGACAGAAGATACTTTATGTTCCCCAGATGAATGCAATCTTTCTATGTCTATCCCTTTCTTTCTGAGTCATTTTGCTTAACATGATACTTTCCATGTAGTACCACTTGTATGTAAATTTCGTGACTTCGTCTTTTCTAACAGCTACATAGTACTCCATTGTGTAAATGTACCAAAGTTTCTTTAACCAGTCATCATTCTCGGGCACTCAGGTTTTTTCCAGATTCTGGATATTGTAAAGAGTGCAGCAATGAACAGACAATTGCAGATGTCACTTCGACTATACTTTTTTGCCTCTCTGGGATATACTCCCAGGAGTGGTATTGCTGGATCAAATGGGAGCTCAATTTCTAATTTTTTGAGAATCATCCATACTGTTTACCAAAAGGGCTGAACCAGTCAGCATTCCCACCAACAGTGAAGGAGTGTCCCTTTCTCACCACATCTGCACCAGCACCGGTTGCTTTTGTTCTTGTGGATATGGGCCAGTCTCTGTGCTGTGAAATGATATCTCATTGTGGTTTTGATCTGCATCTCCCTGATGATTAATGATGTGGAATATTTTCTCATGTGCCTTTTAGCCATTCAGATTGAGAGAGAACAAAAGGGAATGCCCTGCCACAGAGGCAAGGTGGGATGGGGGGGATGGGGAATGGGAGGGATACTGGGATCCGTGGTGGTGGGAAATGGGCACCGGTGGAGGGATGGGTATTTGATCATTGTATAATTGAAAGTCAAGCACAAAAATGTGTAAGTCTGCAACTGTTCCTCATGATGTCTCACTATTAAAAAAAAATACTTCCCGTTGATCGTCGATTTGCTCGAGCAGGCCCAGTAACGTCTCCATTGGAGACGTTGTTGTTACTGTGTCTGGCATATCGAATACTCTCGGTAGCTTGCCGGGCTCTCCAAGAGGGGCGGATGAATCGAACTCGGGTCGGCCACTATTAAAAATTTTTAAAAAATACAAATATTGTTATATTGTTGTACAAATTGAGAAAAAAATAAGATTGTGTGCTCAAATATTTTCCTGTTTTATTATGTAGTATTAATATTTCATATAAGTTTACTATTTGATCATATATTATTCTAAAAAATTTTATGATAATATAGATAATAATTTTTCATTTGAAATTATAAAGCTTCAATATTTTAAATTTCTCTAAGTTCTCAAAATATCAAGCAACAGGAGTACAATGCTCAATATATGTTCATGTCAATAACATTTGGGAGAATCAAATGTTCTTTACGAGGGGTAGGTTGAATAAAAAAATCAATAACATTTATGACATTTTGAATAATTTTATGAAATAATAAATCAGATAATTATAATAATATATAATAATAAATGATAAATAAAAAAATAACGGACAGAAGAAACTTCTTATCATGTAGCATTGAGTACAGCACTCACTAATGGTACATATGATTGTCCTTGACTAGATTAAAAGAGTTTAGAAATATACAGAAATTTATTATCAAAATTGAATTTCATTGATTTTCTGATAATTTTATTTTCTATTACTTTAAGTTTCATTGGAGCAAGTAATATGAAATAAATTTGTTATATGCCGGTGAAGGGGGTAGCCTGAGAGGTGGTAGGGAACCTGGGGATATTGGTGGAGGGAAGGGGCATCCGTTGTGGTATTGGTGTTGAAATATTGTATGCCTAAAACAACTCTATTATGAATAACTTTATAAATCACAGTGTATTACCAGAAAAAACAACACAATTAACAATTGTGTTATTCAGCTGCAATAATGATGAATAATTAACCACTTCCAATACTTCCAACAGTGAATTTTTCAGCAATGTTGTCCTGTGAAATAGGCTTTTATTTATCCATTTCCTCTTCTAAAGCCAAATGGATATCCTCTGTGCCATGCCTCCTTTTGAAGAAGATCTTTTCTATCACAGTCACACATAATTCCACCACCCACTATTCTACATGGTCCACCAGAATCTCCATTCTTGGCACTAAATCCCTGAAGCTACATATGGCCTCTTCTTGTCATGAGGTACTTTTTAGTTTCTATCATGTAAAATTATCAGCTCTGGCAAGCCATGTAAGTGAACTGCTTCTGCAGATCACATAGTTACTGTGTTATGAATCCTGTGATCTCCTGCTTCTTTTTCATATACCCTAAGATTAGCACGTCATTTTACCCATTTATACCCTGTGAAAATTATGAACAAGGACTACAGACACCAGAGCCAGCGGCAGAAAAAGCCCTGTAGTCATACGAATACTGTGGATGTTGGTCACGTGGATCCTATCATCACATACTACACAATGCGCACGTGAGAGACACCATGCAATGTTCCAGTGCCTCTCTACGCTCACGTATGATGCAATGCTTTGTAGTCTCGTGAAATTTGACCCATCCGAGCGCAAGTAGATTGACGGCTCCAGAAGCCCCACGCGCGAGAGAAGTCACTTAGTCCTTGTTCTCTCTCTCCTGGTTCCTGTTTCGGACAGACCTAGAAGTAAGGTATGGCCTCACAACTTCAAGTGATATAGATGCTAAGGTCGGGCAACACCCCCTCTCCATACTTGTGTTCAAATATCCTCACTTCAAGTGTGTCAAGAGATCCTTCTTTGTGAGAGATATAAGATGGAGTCGGCCTTAAAGTTTCAGTTCCTGACTAAGGTCAAGAGAGTCTCTCAGATGCGAGTCTTTTCGGAAACTTTATTTTTTTGTCTAGCTGCAGTGGGTGGGCACCAGCCTGAACTAGACATTTAGTCAGAGAATTGGAGAAAGACCTGAGGGTAAGGTTTCTGAGCTTCTGGTCACGGCTCAGGAAACACAAAGGGATGTTCTTCTCTGCGTTTCCCTACCTTATGCATTTTTTAGGCAAAAGTTTCCCCCTTTTTGTGTAGACGGTTGCCACTCTAATCCTATTTCCCGCCCCTATTTGATTCTGTAAACAGAGGAAAGGAGACTTTTGTTTTATGGGATTTTAATATTTCATTTATTTTTAACTGATAGGGGGTTTCCCAGGCACAGACACTTTGATGAACAACACGCCCCGTGGTGGAAAAATGCGGTGCTCCTGCGGCTCTATGGTAGAAAGTCACCATGGTTAAAAGGGAGACGCTGTGGCAGGAAGGCATATGCCTCGAGGAGAGAAACTGTGGTGGAAAGGCACTGTGGATCAAGCTGAGGCACTGTGGACGAGAGGCGCTGTGCATTGAGTGTCGACTGTGTGGTGGGAAGGGACTGAGTCGAGGGGTGGCGCCATCGCGGGAAGGCATTGTGGGTCTAGGGGAGGGGCCGTTTCGCTTGAAGGAGCTGTATGTCCAGGAGAGGCGCCATCGCTGAAAGGCGCTGTGGGTCAAGCCGAGGTGCTGTGGTGAGAAGGCACTGTGAGTCGAGTGCTGGCCGTGTGGAGGGACGGCATTGTGAGTTGAGGGTTGGAGTCATCTCGGGAAGGCATTGTGAGTCCAGGGGAGGCCCCGCATGATTAGGCTCTGTTGGTCTAAGGATTCCTGTGGAGAGGGAAGGTACTGCGGGTGAGGCGAGGCTCCATAGTGGGAAGTTACTATTCTTCGAGGGGAGGTGCCATCGTGTGAACATACGGCGTGTCAAGGGGACATGCTAGAGGAGAAAGTTACAGTGCTTCAGAGGGAGACGCTTGGGGGATGGGGTGAAGACACTGTGGATTAAGGGGGCGGGGCTGCGCCATAGCAGGAAGGGATTGTGCGTCGAGGGCAGGCCTGTAGTGCAGAAAGGCATTGTGGGTGTAGGGGTGGTGCCGTTTCGCTCAAAGGAGCTGTGAGTTCAGGAGAGGCGCCATCACTGAAAGGCGCTGTGGGTCAGGCCGAGGTGCTGTGGTGAGAAGGCACTGTGCGTGGAGTGTCAGCCGTGTGGAGGGAAGGCACTGAGGGTTGGAGCCATCGCGGGAAGGCATTGTGGGTCCAGGGGAGGTCCCGCATGATTAGGCTCTGTTGGTCTAGGGGATTCCTGTGGAGAGGGAAGGTACTGTTCCTGAGGCGAGGCTCCATAGTGGGAAGTTACTGTTCTTCGAGGGGAGGTGCCACCGTGGGAACATATGGTGTGTCAACAGGACATGCTAGAGCAGAAAGTTACAGTGCTTCAAAGGGAGACGCTTTGGGGATGGGGTAAAGGCTCTGTGGATCAAGGGGTGGCGGGGCTGCGCCATAGCAGGAAGGGATTGTGGGTCGAAGGCCTGTTGCACAGCAAGGCACTGTGGGTCGGTGGGAGGTGCCATCGTGGAGGGCACTCTTGTTCAGAGGGAAGTGCTATAGCGGGAAGGCTCTGTGCTTCAAGTGGAGAAGTTGTGGACAGAGGAAGTCACACTGTGTCAAGTGGAGACACTGTGACATGAAGGCACAGTGAATCGAGGAGTGGCCTGTTTCAGGAAGGTGCTGTGGATCGAGGGGAGAGGCTGTCTTGGTTAGGCACTGTGGTATGAGGAGAGACACCATTGTTTTAAGGCACTGTGGGTTGAGCGGAGGCTCTATGGCTGGAAACTGCTCTAGGGGAATGAATGGTCTGTGAGGGCTTCCCCAAGCTTTTAAACCATTTCTCTGGCTCCAGTAATGTGATTAAAGTGTGAAGGTATTCACATAATCATAAATATATGAAGATTTACGACGTTTTTCATAAGTTTACTTTGCAGTGTGTGTGGAATGCGATGCTGTTGTAAGTTTTGGTAATATTTCTTCCTGCTTTTGATATTAGTGCAATGCTGGCTTCATAGAAACTATTGAGAAGGATTCCTGTTTCTTTGATATTTTGGAAAAGTTTAAGGAGTATGTCTTATTTGAGAGTTTTGATGTTTCTCTATTTGAGTTTGTTTTCTTTGGAACTTTTTTTTTTGGCATCCTCGTTTTGCACACAGGTCTCCCACATCAGGATGTAGAAGATTTCAAATTTATATCATCAACCAGCATTTCTTTCAGATCATATATGATAGCTTTATGTTTACCACCTTGAGGAAGTTTTATATTTCCAAAATGCCTGTACAGGTTAACATTTTCACTTCCTTTCCTTCATGTTAAAAAGGGTAATGAAATTATTTAAGAAAACATTAAGTAGAAGACAATGCCTGTAATTTAGTAAATCATGAAGATGGTACCGATGGAATAAAATTCAGCCAAAAAAGCGGGGCTTGCGTTTGGAGTGAGATTTAATATTGTTTGTAGGTGAAGAATATTATCACTTATGGTATATATTTTTTGCTTCTCCCTAGCATTTCTTAGGGTGCCAGGAGCTATTACAGGTAATACTCAGCATGGTGGTATGGGCTGACTGTTTCAGTGCTCCACTAGGCAATGCTACACTGCTCGAACTTGGAGCTGCTGAAGTTACCAGGGTCATACTCAGCAGAGTTCAGTGTCCATCAGGGATATACCTAGCAGTGTCCATACTTTGAATTGCTGGGGGTTGAATCAGGGATTTTGTGCATGTTATCTCCCCAAATGCTGTGGTGAGTTTTATATGTGCTTCCTGCTTTTTCTCATTTCAGCACTCCCAGGTTTGTTCCACAAAACGCTATGTCTGAGAAATGGCAACAGAAACTTTCTCCACCATACAGGAAGCATGAGAGAGACAGAGATGAAGGTAAAATAATTTTTATATTGTAGTGTTCTTTAGATAGTATGTTAATGCATATCTTGAATCTCAAAGGAGAGTGGTAGTGTCTTTTATTCTTTTAGTCTACTGTTACAGAATATCATGGGACTGTGTGGTTTATGACCAACAGAAATTTATTTTCCACAGTTGTGGAGATTGGCAGGTTAAAAGTCAAGTCACCAGCATGGCAAGTATCTGTTGAAGTATTGTTTCTTAATTTGTAAAAGTTCTCTTCTTGCTATGAATGAAGAAAAGAGAAGGAACAGCTCTGAGGTCGTTTTTATAATGTCCCTAATCTCACTGATGAAGATGTCTCTTTCAATCCCTTTCTAAAGGCCCCACCTACAAATACCAGCATATTGGATATTAGTTTGTAATCTAAGCAGCTAGCCTAAAACAAGTAGATGTAACTTATATGTGTTATTTTTGCATATAATTTAAAATGCTACTACTCTTGGGGCTGGAAAGACAGTACAGCAGGTAAGGCACTTGCCTTGTACAGTGCTAACAGGGATCTGATCCCTGCATTGCTGGGTGTGGCCTAAACAATTCCACCCACACTTCCTGCTTGCAGATTAAAGTGCTATTATTATTTTGTGGGGTCAGGTTTGCTGATTCTGTTCTCAGGAATCACTTCTGGCAACGCTCAGGGGACCATACGGCATGCTGGGGGTTGAACCCAGGTCAGATGCTTACAAGACAAGCACTCTACCCACTGTACTATTGTTCCAGCTACTAAAGCACTTCTATACTTAAGAAAAGTTTTCCTAGCACCATTTGTTGAGATTTTCTTTGCTCCACTTCATATACTTTGAGCTTTTTGTACTAACACTGACATGAATTTCAACAGTCTGTCAGGAAACACTCTTTTGATTTTTCAACTATTCAAATAAAAGAAAACCATTCTTAACCTGCAGGCCACAAATACAGGATTTGGACCAAATGTGGCCCATGAACCATAGGTTTCTAATCTCCCTTCTAACTCTAATGGGACTGCTAAGTCTTTAATACAATATTGAATAGAAAGTTTTCAATATGAGGTGGCAGCCATTCTTGGGTTATTCTGCTAAGCATAAACCAAAAACTGATACTGTGGCTTTCAATCCTGTTTACACATTTTAGTCACCTGGAGAGTTTTAAAAATAAAGTTCCTAGAGCCATAGGGATAGTACAGCAGGTAGGGCACTTGCCTTACACACAGCTGAACCAGCTTCCTCTTCTCTTCTATTCCTTTTGCACCTATTCAACCTCGTCATATTCCTCTCAGTGTTCTTACCAGGTTTTTTCTCCTAATAATTCAATCTCTAAGATAATGCCTTCCATGGGTAAGCAGAGGAATTCGCTTTCTAGGGTTCGTGTGATCAGTCCCTTTGGCATGTTGACCCTTGATTTGTCCTAATCAAGGTATTAGCTTAAGATATAGTACATATAATATATGCTGAGTGAACCAATGGTGTATCTTCAGTCTTACATTTTTATTCCTCATTTAAGGATACTATAATGGTGGAATTGCATCTCAAGGAAGAAAGAAAGATTGGAGTTCTTTCCAAGATAATCGTGGTAGGAAGAGCCACTGTTATCATCACGATCACTATGACCGTCAGCTTCATCATCGAGAAGGGGATAAATTCCTACAGATGAGAGATGTCCAAGAAGACTCCAAAGGAAGATAGTAAGTCACCACGTAGCTTGCTTTACAAGTGGAAACTCTGGGACTATGCAGATCTCTGTCTCCACAGTCTTCATTTTCTTCTCCCACTGGAAAACTGAAGAAAGCTAGAAATGGAATTATAGTTGAACAATCCTAACTGTATTCCAGGTATCATAGAAGCATGCATATGTGAAGTACTTTCTGGAATTTATAACCAGCATTCTTCTATCTCTGCCCCCTATAGCACCCCCTATTCTATCAGACACAAGAGGAGAATGAAATATCAGGATGAAGACCAAAACAGTTTTACTGGGGGGAGAAACAGAAAACATCGAGAGAGTGAAATGATGGGGAAAAAACAAGATAAAAGACCAGAAACCTGGTTCAAGATTACAGTGAGTGTCCTAAAAATGTATGAAATTTGCAGCACAAAAATTAATGTTGGTCTCATATAGATAAAGATGCTTTGTTGCAGACAGTTTGTAATATCTCCTTTTTATTACTTAAGTTAAAATCCTTGTTCATCTAAGGATAAATTCAGAGAAGTGATATAGAAGGTGCATGGAATGACCACTTGTGTGTAGAGTGGGGGAGGCTAATTAAGAGAAGTGATATAAAAAGTACATGGTCCCATGTCTATAGCTATATATATATACATATATATATATATATATATAAAATTGGGGAGACTGTCTAAAAAGAAAAGCGGAAACAAAAAATTCCTCACAGGATTCTTCAATTTGGCTCAAATTGAGGGTAGTATATAAGGTCAGGTTGTTTCTGGGGACCTCATTTGAGGTGCTTACAGGATTTACACTAGGTAGGATCTCCTGAAATTTTATTGAGGGAAGCTCATATTGTTACTTTAGATAATTTTGAGGAGATCTTTGAACAGAGCAAAAGTGGGATTTAGGATCTGTATTTGACCACAAAATAGGAAATTATGTCAGTGATCAGTTTAAAGATTCTTTCAAGCATGGTAGAAGACTGGAAAAGAAGACTGTTCTATACTCCAGATTTAATTCCATGTTCTTAATTTCATATCCTATTCCTTCTTTTTCACAATTAGATTCTGAATGGGAGAAAGTATGAGAAGAAATGGCTCCTGGATTCCATTCAGAACCACTGCCGTTTACCATTCAATCCAGTGGATGTAAGAGCTGATGGTGAAGCCAGATAAAGGGGTTCAGTGAAGTGTGCTCAGAGGGATAGTATTCTGAGCAGGAAGACTTCCTCCAAAATTATGGTTGCCTCTTTTTCCTACAGTTCCACTATGTGAAAAAATGGGCTCGATTCTTTGTCCAGAATTCTAGAATTGCCCATGCACTGAAGGATGTCAGCAGTAAGATTTATGATCAGGAAAACCAAAAGGTAAAAGCATTATTTGGAAGACTAGGGACTGATTATCTTCTTTGGAAATAGAGCTATAATTCTTACCCCCAATCTCTCCTTCCAGATATCTATAGTTATCAGTAAATCTCCTGAGCCTTACTCTGTGCTGAATAAGTTGCAGCCAAAAGAAATGAAGGAGCTAGAGGTAATGTAGAGCTAAGTCGCATTTTGGGACCATCGACCTCTTCTTCCCCACACCACCCCCATTTTACCCACCACTGAAACCTCAGTGCTCATAATTTTCTGCAGCTGACCATGAAGAATAGGTATGATGTTACCCAGAAATCTCTTGACCTTGAGATGCTCCGCTTTGACTCAGGTATAAATGACAACAGTAATTAGAGCAAGTGAGGGAAGAAGCGTGTGCCTGAAAGGGAAATCTAGGGGTGATGATGTATGGGAAAGGGTTGCTGCTCACCTTGAACCCCCCCCCAGCCTTCTTATTCTCTCCTCTTGTCTTCCTGAAGACTTGATGCACCATGATATTGATATATTCCTGAATCGAAGACAATGCATGTCTGCTGTCCTGCAAATCATAGAAAAGAATTTCCCTGAGGTAAGGTCTTATGTCCAATTCTGTTACAATGGTCGGAGTTTGGGGCAGAGGGCAGATATATTTCCTATGTTCTATATACTAACTATTATTCTAACACTTCTTTCACAAAGCTGTTGTCCCTGAAATTAGGCAGCAACAAACTCTACCAGCTTGATGGTCTGTCTGACATTATACTGAAGGTCCCCACAATCAAGATCCTGGACCTCTCCAAAAACAAAGTGAGATAAGAAAGACAGGTCAAAGTAGGGTTGATTCTGTGTGTATGTGTGTAGTGCCATCAGAGTGATGACAGGAGATAGGTTAAGTTACCTGAGAGGGAGGGGGAGACAAAGTGCTGGTGCTCAGATATCTCCTTCTCTGTGACTCAGTTTTCTCCTTATATGTCTTAGCTGAAATCCATGTGGGAAGTAAGCAAAATAAAAACCCTGAAGCTTGAAGAGCTGTGGCTGGAGGGGAATCCCTTGTGTAAGGCTTTCCAGGACCAGTCTTCCTACAAAAGGTCAGCATGATCCCGTTATGCTAACTGAGACTTTGTCTCATGCGAGCCTAAAATGTCCCTTGAGAATAGCTGAATGTGCAAATGGCTATGAACCAGGTCATCTGGAAGAACCACAGGGTCAGCCTTTCTTTCCTGTGTCCCTTCCCTCTAAAGAATTTCCTTCCTTGATCTTGCTCACCTATTTCCTAGTTTGTGGTTTGTTTCTTGACTGTATTCATAGTCTTCCCTCTGGAGAGTGTGTGTGCTCCAGGAAGTAGAGATCACTCTCTGTGCCAGAGTCAGAAATTATTGACCATGAAGCAGGTGTTGGTGCCCTGGTTTAAAAGTTTTTCCAGCACCAGGCATAATTCCTACTCCATATTGAAATGGAGCTTCACTCCGATATTCTCTGAAAGGCTCTCTTTTCCTTGCTCCAAAATTCTCCTCTTTCCAATCCCAGTCTGCCATGAGACTTACCTGCACCATGCTGAGAGGAAAAGCCTTCAGTAACTGTCAGGATATCCCTTTCTCTTAGGCTAATCCTGGAAATGGGATCTATGTGATATAAGACAGATTTATTTTAGTTGAGGGACCAGAAGTAGATAACTTTCGCAAGCTGAGGGCTTTCCAAGGCAAGTGTGGAAGCCAAAGGTCAGAGGAGGCCGGGGGATAGTACAGGAATTAATGATCTTTCCTTGTACACCGTGGACCCTGATTAAATCCCAAGCACTGAATATGGTTCCTTGATAACTTCTAGAAGTGAACCCTGAGCACATATGGGTGTGGTCCAGCCTCCCTAAAATTAGAACAGGCATCTCAGGGACTCTGTCACTCCCTCTATCCACATATCACATCCCCTGCCTGATCATTCAGAGTCCCCGATTTCCCAAGACAGATATAATTCCTCAGGCCAGGAACAAATTAGTACAGGCTCAGGTGCACAGGGCCGTCATAAGAAAAATTGGTGATCAAGTTGGAGGGTGCAGCATACCTTTACCCGATACTGAGACTCTGGAAACTGACACTCACCTTCTCTAGAGAAGGTCTTTTGCCTCATGGGATGCTCCATTTCTTATGCCCAGGTCAGACTAGTTCACATGGGTGATCAAGGGTCAAACAGCATCCACTGGGTATCCTGCCCAACTGGTGCATGTGTTTCATTCTTTTCTGGAATCTCAGGTATAGGTGAGTCAACATGTGAATGTGGTAAGGGATTCACTTTCTCTTCTGTCTTTTCTCTGACCACTACCATAATGCCATGGTGGTAGACATAAAGCTACTTCTCTTTGCTTTCTCTTTGTCTCTGTCTCTCTAATCTCTCTACCTACTTCACTTCTCCCCAGCATGCCAGGTCATCCCGGGGTAGGTTAGGGAAGTGGCGACGGGGTCGTACTGGTATTGTCAAAATATTTAACACCCTGTGAGGTAAGAGTCCTGGGTTCCCACTGCATGCTCTCATTCTTTCTGAACCTTAAATGGAACTTGAAGAGAGGCAGGGAGGTCGAGAAAGCTCTTAAGCCTGAGCTCAAAATGCTGCTATTTGTAGAAAAGGGAGGCAGGGCCAGAAGGAAAGAAATGAGAGAAGGAGAGGAGAGAGTGTCAAAGAAACCCTGAAACCCTGAACAATCATTTTTATCTGTTTTTTCCCACAGTGCTGTGCAGGATCTATTCCCTAAATTGCTGTACCTGGTAAGTACAACAAGCCTATGTTCATCATTGTCTCTTACTAAATTGATTACTGTTTTACCTGTCCTCTAGTCCTTTGACCTTACCTACATGACTTGCATCAAAATCTTACCCACTTTAAAGAACATGGACTCCTATAAAAGATGTAAATATACCATCTAAAAATGTACATCCCCTGAGTGTTTACTGCTGACTTGCTCTTTATTTATCCAGGATGGCCAGAAGTTATATCAACCAGTTGTTGATGTTGATATGTCCCATTCAACAAAGTCTACTGAGGTAAAGATTAAGGTCAAACATCTTTTGTGGTTGTGCAAATTGATTATTGTTTTACCTGTCCTCTAGTCCTTTGACCTTACCTACATGACTTGCATCAAAATCTTACCCACTTTAAAGAACATGGACTCCTATGATCACGGTGATCATGGTCCTCCCGTTGTTCATTGATTTGCTCGAGCGGGCCCAGTAATGTCTCCATCGTGAGACTTGTTGTTACTGTGTTTTGGCATATTGAATACATCATGGGTAGCTTGCCAGGCTCTGCCGTGTAGGCGAGATACTCTCGGTAGCTTGCCGGGCTCTCCGAGAGGGGCGGAGGAATCGAACTCGGGTCGGCCATGTTGGCTGCATGCAAGGCAAATGCCCTACCGCTGTGCTATCACTCCAGCCCCATGGACTCCTATAAAAGATGTAAATATACCATCTAAAAATGTACATCCCCTGAGTGTTTACTGCTGACTTGCTCTTTATCCAGGATAGCCAGAAGTTACATCAGCCAATTGTTGATGTTGATATGGACCATTCAACAAAGTCTACTGAGGTAAGGATTAAGGTCAAACATCTTTTGTGGTTGTGCAAATTGATTATTGTTTTACCTGTCCTCTAGTCCTTTGACCTTACCTACATGACTTACATCAAAATCTTACCCACTTTAAAGAACATGGACTCCTATAAAAGATGTAAATATACCATCTAAAAATGTACATCCCCTGAGTGTTTTCTGCTGACTTGCTCTTTATTTATCCAGGATGGCCAGAAGTTAGATCAGCCAGTTATTGATGTTGATATGTCCAATTCAACAAAGTCTACTGAGGTAAGGATTAAGGTCAAACATCTTTTGTGGTTGTACAATGGAGGTTGTGTCAATTTTATCATTTAAATTTTTATCCAGAATGAATGTAAAGGATCTGAGGTGATGAAGAATCAGATACTGCAGTTCCTTCAACAGTAAGTACTCTGCAGACTATGAGGAAAGGGAGTTCTGAGATGAACTGGACCTTGAAAACACAGATCTTCTCTGATTACAGACATTTTCAAGTCTCACTTGAGGACTGTCATTCAGATAGTTCATCTGTATTGTTTTTCTACAGGTATTACATGATATATGACTGTGAAAACCGACAGGGTCTCCTGGATGCTTATCATGATAATGCGTCCTTCTCTCTGTCCATTCCTTTTAACTCCAGTGACCCATCTCTGTGAGTAACACAGCTTCCACTCTGGTAATAAATCATATGAATCCTCAGGAGACACAGGTCAGCTCCTGAAAATGCCCACAATGGCCACTTCCTTATGTTCCTATTTTTCTCCTAGAAGTGGCTTGTGCAAATACTTCAAGGAGAGCAAGAATATGACAATACTCAAGGATTCGTGTAAGTTTGTATTGGGGGAAGAGTGAACAGAGAAAGAGGGCATGGAAGGGTCAATCATAGGTGCAAGTGTATGGCTGCCCCTGATATATTCTTGCATCTTCTCCCTACACAGGTCAGCGAATTCAACTGTTGGAACACACAAAACAAGCCATTCTGCACACTCTATGCATGCTACCTCAAACTCAGCACGACCTCAGTTCTTTCCTGATAGATGTATGGGTGCAGTCGGTAAGCAGCTGCATATTCCTTCAGTCAGGTCCAGAAAGCCATAGGTGGATAGGTAGTTTATGTGGCGACTGAGTGCCTTCGTTCTTTCCTTTCAGGAAACCATGCTCTGCTTTTCTGTCCATGGGACCTTCAAAGAAGGTGAGTGTATAGAGTTCCAGCCCCAGTTCACCCACTGCTCCCTCCTCCTAACTGAGCTCCGTCTCAAAACTTTCCCACCTTCTCTTATACATTCTCCTTTCTTTCCCTCCCATCTGTGTTCTCTGACCTCACTCTTCCACAAACTATCCTGTATACCCCTGTGCCTGTGTCTGTGCCTGTATACCCCATATAGCTGGGGCACTGGGGATACAACTTGTAGAGTTTGATGGCTGTCACCCCAGATTCTTATTATAAGACCATAAGCTAGTTACTTAACCTCTCAGTTTCCTCATATCTAAAATGAAGCTGATAATACCCACCTCTTGGGAAGCTATGAAATACAAATAAAATGTGATTGTCAAAGGAACTGGAACATTAACAGTGTCTCAGTCTCTGGGAGCAGATTGTTTCATTATAGATGCCCTATTTCTGATATCTAGAGTTCCACAGAACATGTGTTTCCTTCATAATGAGTAGCAAATAAGACCCCAACTGGTCTTGTAAGAATGTGAAAATATGACTCTAACGGGATGTTATTGTTTGTTATTGAAGTGGAAGACAAAACTAAGGGTTCTGTTTATGCCTTCGTCCGGACCTTCATCACTGTCCCTGCCAGAAATTCTGGGTAAATATTGTGTTATGTGTGTGAACATCCTTAGCAGCCTAAGACTGACAATGTAAATATTAGTCCTATTGTGAATAATAGTCCTATGGATTTTTTTTATCAACATTGTAGAAAGCGAACAGATTGATTCAAGGTGCATCCTAGTGATTACAAGTAAGAGGTCTGGAATCAGGACATTGGACTGTCTTCCTGATTCCAATACTGACTAGGTGTGTCACCTTGGTTCAATCATAAGACCTTCTTGTGGATAAGTGTATTCCTGGAAAAACTGGAATTAAACTGTCTTCTTCCTGGGGCAATTTTTGCACAACAAGAACATTTGGGTTAAAGCTATAAATTAAGTAAATATGGTAGTTATGCAAAGGTGAATTCTATAGGAGAGGTGTAGTTACTAGCCAAGGAATGGAGGAAGTAGTGGGGTTGCTAAGTGGTGAGATAGTTGTTGAAAATGAGGTTGTCTTTATGTTCAGTTGTCTGAAAGCCTATTCTTCATCCAGTATGTGTATCATGAATGATGAACTGTTTGTGAGGATTATCAACAACAATGAGATCCGGCCTGCACATTCCACATCAGAGTCCACACCATCTTGCAGTTCTGCACCCACCTACTCCAAGGAGCAGCAAGACATGGTGCAGGCGTTCTCCATCCAGTCTGGAATGAACCTGCAGTGGTCTTGCAAGTGAGTTCTAGATGTACAGGGTGATTAGAGGGAGAAAGAGGAGTGAGGAAATTAACTGAAATGCTCAGACTTAAATGAATATCCTTATGGAAAGAATTTATTATGCAAAACATATCTTTATTTTCTTGTCATTTATAAAAAAGAATTTTTAAAACGATATAATGCCCTGTTGGCATGATCTTGTGTATTGAAAATTCTGAGTAATTTGCTCAAAACCTATTAGAATAAACTGGCTCAGTATTTTTGGGTACAAAAACACTTTATTGTACGAAAAGCTTTTGTATTTCTATCTATGAAATAAAACAGTGTATTTTTTTCTTTTTGGGTAACATCCATCAATGCACAAGGGTAACTTGTGACTCATGCATTCAGGAATTATTCTTGCTGATGCTGGAGGACCATATGGGATGCTGGGACTTGAAACTGGGTCGGTCGTGTGCAAGGCAAACACCCTACCCGCTATGCTATTGTCCCACCCCCCCTGAAAAGAATTTTAGCCTTATCTGCATGTCATGTACAAATACTGACTCAAAAATGAATCAATGATCTAACATGATATACAACTATAAAAAGTTTTAGAAAACATTTTTGAATATACTCATGTTCTTGAGTTACATGTAAGTTTTCTGTATATCAGTGATTTTCAACTGCAGATTAATCATTGTTATATGTAACAGTGAAAGAAAAAGCATCAAACAAACACATCAGACTTAAAATTAAATACTTTTGATTTTCCAAAGGACACTGTGAAAAAGTGAAAATACAATTCCAGAATGGGAGAAAGCATTTGCAAATATTGTATCTTATTGGATCTACTATGCAGGGTATTTTCAGGGATCTTATACTTCAGTAATTAAAAAGACAACTCAATTTGAAAATGGAGAAATGATTTGTATAGAGACTATTCTATATAAAAATGACCAATACTCTTGTACATAAATAAATATTCAATAGTATTAGCAAGGAAATTCAAATATAAGCAATGATGTTTTACCACTTCACATACACTAAGATGGCTTTAATTAATGAACTAGAAGAAGTACAGTGAGGATGTATAGAAATAAGAGCTATGGTTTATGTTGCAGATGGTAAATTCATGTAGTTACTTTAGAAAACATTTTGGCATTTCCTTGAAATATTTGATATATAGTTAACGTATGACACAGTAATTCCACTTTTTACTATATATCAAGAGAAATCAAAGCATATTCATTCAAAAACTTGTGTAAGGACATTCATTGGATTACTAGTTATAGTATCCAAAATGTGTGTAACCAACCTACTGATGAGTAAACAAATTTGTTACACATATATAGTAATCTACAATTATTCAGTTCTGAAAGGATCATAATTTTTTTCTAAGTAAAATAGTGTTGTTAGGGAAATGTGAGCATTCCAAAAAGGAAAAGTTCCATAAAGGAAAGAAGAGGAGTGCCCAATGCTGAAACAGATCATGCCATGGATGAATCATGAAACAAGTAAATGAAACCAGTCACAAAATGGCACCAGATAGGGCCCAGAGAAATAGTACAGTGAAGAGGGTGTTTTGCCTTGCACGTGGCTGACCCAGCACCCCATATATTCCACTGAGTCAGTCAGGAGTGATGCCTGAGCACATGATCAGGAGTAATCCTTAAACACCACCAGGTGTGGCCCCCAATTTTTTCAAAAAACGTCACCAGCTAAATTTATGAATCAGTTTACCTGAAATGTCCAGACTAAGCAAATCTGTAAGGAACAAAAGCAAATTAGCAGTTTTCTGCTTGAAGGGGAAGGATATAAGAAAAGCTTTCTAACAGAGAGTTTATTTATTTATTTTTAATTATTTTTAATTTTTATTATGTATTATTCTTTTTTTAATTTTTATTATTGGTACATCTACACAATGGAGTATATGTAGCTGTTAGAAAAGATGAAGCCATAAAAATTGTAAATCTACAACTTTAAAAAAAATAAAATAAAGGGAAAAAAACAAAAAAAATAAAAAAACAAAACAAAAAAAGAAAAGATGAAGCCATGAAATTTACATACAAGTGGTAATACATGGAAAGTATCATGCTAAGCGAAATGAGTCAGAAAGAAAGGGACAGACATAGAAAGATTGCATTCATCTGGGTAACATAAAGTAACAAAATAGGAGACTAACACTCAAGAATAGCCGAGTTTATTTTTTTGAAGCAATAACAAATAATTTGGAATTACCTCTTGTTTTTGCTTTTGTTTTGCATTTGGGCCACACTGGGCAATGCTTGAAGCTGTGTGCTCAGGTATCACACCAGGTAGATTCAGTACCATATGGGGTGCCAGAGATTGAGCTCAGGTCAGCTCTATGAAAGGCAAGCGTCCCACCCACTGTACTATCAGGCCATTATGTCTTGTTTTTAATATATACTAAATTAATTTTAAATATATGATTATACTAAAATATGTAGTACTCTGGAATATACTAAAGAGCACCAGATTGTGTAATATGGAGCCAGAGCAATAGTACAAGGGGTAGGTCTCTTTCCTAGTATGCTGCTGACCCAGGTTCTAAACCTAGCATGCCATATGGTCCCTCAAGAACTCCCAGGAGTAATTCCTAAATACAGAGCTAGAAGTAAGTACTGAACACTGCTGGATGCAGCCTCCAAACCAACAAAAGTGAAAAACTAAAACTAAAATATGTGCATATCAGTAAAAATGTTTGCAATATGTGGAGCCAAAGAGATACTACAAGTGACAGGGAGTTTGCCTTGCATGCAGCCAACTGGGGTTAGATCCCTGGCATCCCCTGTGTTCCCCAGGAATGACTCCAGAGTGCAAGAGAAATTTCTGAGTACAGAGACAGGAGAAAGCCCTGAGTACCACCAGGTGTGACCTCCAAAATAAAAAAATATTCTAAGGTTATTTTATAATTTTCATTTGCAATTTTTTTAAACATTTTAACATATATAGCACTGTTCTCCCGTTCATTGATTTGCTAGAGCGAGCTCAGTAACGTCTCCATTGTGAGACTTGTTGTTACTATGTTTGGGATATCGAATATGTCACGGGGAGCTTGCCAGGCTTTGCTGTGCAGACAAGATACTCTCGGTAGCTTGCCGGGCTCTCCGAGAGGGGCCGAGGAATCGAACCTGGGTCGGCCAAGTCGGCCACGTGAAAGGCAAACGCCCTAATGCTGTGCTATCGCTCCAGCCCAGTATATCACAGTCACACAGTCACGGTCCTCCCATTGTTCATCTATTTGCTCGATTGTGCCCAGTAACATTGTGGTGCAGTATATATCAACATATATACTATACATATATAGTAAATATAAGGTAAAGGTAAAGGCCCTCCTGTTGTTCATCGATTTGCTCGAGCGGGCCCAGTAACGTCTCCATTGGAGATGTTGTTGTTACTGTGTTTGGCATATCGAATACATCATGGGCGGCTTGCCAGGTTCTGCCGTGCAGACGAGATACTCTCGGTAGCTTGCCGGGCTCTCCGAGAGGGGCGGAGGAATCGAACTCGGGTCGGCCATGTTGGTTGCGTGCAAGGCAAACGCCCTACCGCTGTGCTATCGCTCTCTATATATTTACTATCTACTAAAGATAGTAAATATATATAAAATAAATTTTATATACTACTATGTAAATATCTATGTATACTGTTTGTATACTATTTTTTAAATATATATACTATTTATTCTTGAATTTTGTGTGCATGTATGCTAGTGACAGAAGTTTGTATTTTCACTAGATCTTTGTCATTGCACAGTGTTCTCACTGGTACATGGATGCCAGCCAAAGAGTGTCACAGATATAGTGCTGCATGTTCAGCATATAGGCAATGCGATACTAAGAGAAAGTATACATTCTTCTCCACTTCAGGTGCCTTCAAGAAAATGAATGGAATTTTATAAAAGCTGGCCATATCTTCACTGTGTTAAAGGTGAGATCTGGGAATAATTGGGTTAAAGAAAATATCACTTGGCCTACCAGAAGGCCAAGAAAGTGGAGTCTGATTGCCTGTCCCGGGAATGAATTCCATGTTGCTGATTCTTCTGACACTCCACATTTTCTTCCTTACAGACTGAAGGCAGGATTCCAGAGGAGGCCTTCAAACAAACTCAATAAGTGGATCCTTTCGATATTTGGTTTAATCCACATCATTTTTGTTTCTTTCTTTTCTCCAGTGTAAGTTAGAAAGACATGCTTATGACTAGTGTTGGAAGCCTAAAGAGCCAAGAAGTTAGAGTTACCTTGTAAACCAAGCAATGTAATATCTGATAGATCGTTTATTGTTTGTATTTTCCTCACTTGTGTTGATTATTCTCAAAATAAAAGTGATGTTACATGATATATGATGTGTATCCTGGATTACAATTGCTTTGGCCCAGCATAAATCAACAAGTTCAGGATGGAAAGACCTTCATAAACTCCCCTTTAACTCTGGAAGTACTTAAAGACAAATCAGGCTTGTGCTGGTGCAGATGTGGTGAGAAAGGGACACTCCTTCACTGCTGGTTGGAATGCCGACTGGTTCAGCCCTTTTGGAAAACAGTATGGACGATTCTCAAAAAAATAGAAATTGAGCTCCCATTTGACCCAGCAATGCCACTCCTGGGATATATCCCAGAGAGGCAAAAATGTATAGTCGAAGTGACAACTGCACTTGTTTATTCATTGCAGCACTCTTTACAATAGCCAGAATCTGGAAAAAACCTGAGTGCCCAAGAACAGATGACTGGTTAAAGAAACTTTGGTACATCTACAGAATGGAGTACTATGTAGCTGTTAGAAAAGATGAATTCATGAAATTTACATACAAGTGGTACTACATGGAAAGTATCATGCTAAGCGAAATGAGTCAGAAAGAGAGGGATAGACATAGAAAGATTGCATTCATCTGGGGGATATAAAGTAACAAAATATGAGATTAATACTCAAGAATAGCTGAGATCAGCACCAGGAGGATTACTCCATAGCTTAGAGGCCAGCCGGGCATTCTAGGGGAAAGGGCAGCTCAGAGAAGGGAGCACCAAATAAAGGGTGTTTGGAGGATCCTCCCAGGATGGGAGATGGATGTTGAAAGTAGACTATGGACCGAATATGATTGCCACTCATTGCCTCTTTTGCAGACCACAACACCCAAAAGGAGAGAGAGAACAAAAGGGAATGCCCTGCCACAGAGGCAGGGTGGGATGGGGGGGGGATGAGGGTGGGAGGGATACTGGGATCCATGGTGGTGGAAAATGGGCACTGATGGAGGGATGGGTATTTGATAATTGTATAATTGAAACCCAAGCAGAAAAATTTGTAAGTCTACAACTGTACCTCATGGTGTTTCACTAATAAAAATTAATAAAAAAAAGACAAATCAGGCTTGACTCCATAGTTAAAGTGCCAATACATTTTCATGCAAAAGTACACACACTGCTTCCAGGGAATTAGAATTTGGAGGCAATACGATATAGTTAGATCTTCTACCCAGAGGTTGCAGAAGCAGGTATGAGTCCTAGTACAGGGGTGTTGGATTCCTGTTATATAGGGAGGGCTATGAAAAGAAGGAAGATGAGGACCTACAGTTTTATTTAATTTTTTTTTGGTTTTCACCCAACAGCGTTCAGGGATTATGCCTGGCTCCATACTCAGGGGTCACTTTTGATGGCTCAGGGGACTGTATGGCGTTCTGGGAATTGAACCCAGTTGGCCACATGCAAGACAAGTGTATTATCTGCTTTAGTATCTCTTAAGTATTGAAGACCTAAAATTTTTATTTCTAGTTGAGTATTTTGATAACCATACTTTGAACTATTTTATGATTTGCACAATTTGCATACAGGTTAAAGTTGAAGCTTACAATTTCACACCATCTACTATGCTTCCACTTGCCTTGTCATCTATGCAGTATATTGCTCCCCTTTCCGAAGGTCACTGTGGAAAAGTTCTCCCTTTTATAACCTGACAATGGCAAAGAGTCAGCCTGTATGCTCAAGGACTTTCTCAGAAAGCTCCATGTGCTTAGGGATTTGACATTTATTTTAACTTCCAAAGAAACAATAATGTCATGGAATCTCACATTCTGTTCACTTGATTAGAACCATTCTCAGCAGCTATAAAAGAGAAGTTCAGAATTGCATACAAGAGTTGAAAGAAACACTTGTACAATTTACTTTCCCGTGTTCCATAAAGCTTGCATTATAGACATAAGGCATAATTTTCAAAATACATTAATATAAATAAATATTTCTGGGGCCAGAAAAATTATGCAGCAGCTAAGTCTCTTGCTTCACACACAGTTGATCTGGGTTTAATCCCTGACACACCTGAGCTCCACCAGAAGTGATCCCTGAATGCAGAGCCAGGAGTAAGTCCTGAACACTGCCAGATGTGGCACAAAAGCCAAAAAAAATGTATTTCTAAGTTACAATCCTAAAAATGATGACTAGGTAAGCTTTCAAATTATAGCTCTGTTTTTTTAATAATTTATTTATTTATTGAATCACTGTGGGAAAAGTTACAAAGCTTTCAGGTTTAGGTCTCGGTCATGCAAATATCAAACACATTTCCCTTTACCAATACTTATTTTTCACCACGAAGAACCCCAATAACACCCCACCCCCCACCCCTCCCAATGCCTGTGAGGCAGATGAATTCTAGTTAACACTCTATCTACTTTCACTAGATTCATTGTTTTGATAAAAGATGCACCATTATTATTTAGAGTTTATCCCCCCAAATCAGACCTGATGAAAAAGCATTGTGAAATGATTTGCTTTCTACAGCTGGGTTGAAGAATTAAACTATGTCGTGCGGCCACTATCGTGGCTGCGTGGTTTTGGATTTCTGCTATTTTACTTATTAACCCTGGAAGTATTTCTACTGAGAGTCAGATAATTAAGAGATTAGTTTCTGTGCTCTGGAGTCATGGCCGTGCCGGAGAGCCGCTCATGGGGGGGCAACTGGTGACCTTGGTAGGGCGTGAAGGACGAGCCGGGAACGCCCCCCTTCCCATGAGGTTTTAGTCACCCCATCACCACCGGCTCATACCTGGCTCTCCACAAGGCTCCCATGCGGCTGCCATCTTTCTTTCCAGAGGGAAGAAGGCGGAAGGGAGCAACACCCTTTCCCCTCTGGGCAGACATGGTGGTGTGGATTAACGCATAGTCCGTTCACTTTTCTGCTCCAAGCTGCTGGGCATAGCTCTGTTTTTAAGACTTCTATAAGCTTTGCTCCTTGTCACTTTTTTATTTCTTAATATATACTGATTATATGTTACATATACTGGAATATGAATTATATTGTAAACCATGGTGCTTTAATATGATAAATATTTTAAGATACTAAGGAGATGTAATTACATAAAGAAAATTTCTTCTTGTCCCATGTTAGTGCCTCAATGGTCAAAGACAAATCTGTATTCTCACCTGAAAGATGTAGATTACACTGCACTGTTCTGAACTGCATTGTGATGAACAGAGATTTCCCACATGTTAATGAATAATTGCAATTTAGTTACTTGAGTTCCCTCATGGAACTCTAATATGACCCCTCAACTTCCTCTATGTCATCAGACTTCATCCCGCTCTTCCTTCTCTAGGTACATCAAATGGCACAGACATCCATTCATTGGGTCTGGTTCTTGGTTCCATGCGCCTAAGTAAATGCTAGCCAGAGAGGTCACGGTCACGGTCCTCCCGTTGTTCATCGATTTGCTCGAGCGGGCCCAGTAACATCTCCATCATGAGACTTGTTGTTACTGTGTTTGGCATATTGAATACATCACGGGTAGCGTGCCAGGCTCTGCCATGCGGGCGAGATACTCTCAGTAGCTTGTTGGGCTCTCCAAGAGGGGCGGAGGAATCGAACTCGGGTCAGCCATGTTGACCACTTGTAAGGCAGACGCCCTACCGCTGTGCTATTGCTCCAGCCCAGCCAGAGAGGTAAATAAATACATAGATGACTGTGTGTAACTATATCCTCAGATATAGATATAAAGAGATGTAGATATAGATATATTTGTGTAAATTATTCTATGGAATAAATTCTTGAAGGTACAAATGTTGAATGCATATGTGCTTTCAAGAATATTTCAAAAATTATGAGACAGCAGTTACTCTCACACATTTTTTCTGAAGGTGTAAGTTAGCATCCACGTATTAGCACCAATTGAAGAATTTCATATGGTACACACATAAATATATACACATTTTATAATCTAGTGCACACACTTTATGTTTATTTCATTTTTGTTTTCAAATGCTTTCCCATAAAACTTGGTAATATACACTTATATTGTTATGCATTAAGATCTTTGGTCAGACCTATGGTGATTATGATTTTTTATTCCCGACATTGTTAACTTATTTCTTAATTTTTTAGAGGAAAGTGGGAAATAATAGATTAATACAGAAAGCAGAAAATTGATTTTTAGCCAGAATTTATAGCATTGGTAGCTCTGTTTATTTGCCTGAGTCCTAATACAGTCTTAGGGATTAGGAGGTAAAAAGCTGGGAACATGGTATTTGTGTAAGCAGAGCTCTGAGAAAAGATATTATTTCCCATACGTCACTTCTCTTCCAGCCCATAAAGTGCAACAACATCAATTTTTATTGATATTACCAGTGAGTTGCACTTCTTTAAAAGACTGCCTGTGGAGGTGTGTATTGGGTCCTTCGCTATTCTCCAGCAGAGTCCGGAATCCTCTGGGGAAGGAGGCCCAAAAGCAGTATGGGGCAAGTATGGTGTTTGCCTTACATGTGGCTGATCTCATTTATTCCCTGGCACCCTGAATGGTCCCCTAAGCACCACCAGAAGTGATCTCTGAGTGAAGAGCAAGGAGTAAGCACAGCTGAATGTGGCTCAAAAACCAAAAATAAGTTTATTGGTCAACTTCTTAGCGTATTAAGCAAGTATGTAAAAGGTAAACTTTGAAGAAGTTAATTGGTGGCTTTTAAGTTGTAGTGAGTAATTTTAGAATTATCTTAGATAAGTTTCCAATTTAAAAAGGCTATAAGCATAGAACAATATATATATAATTAGAAAAAACTTTCTATAACTAACAAACTATAAGAGGAAAACAGAGGCCAAGCACCACACAGAGGTATACCTCAAAGAAATCACAAAGAAAAATG